CAAACAACTAATCCTTTCACAACCTTTAAGATATAATCCATAAAGATTCTCCAAATCTGAGATAGAATTGGGAAGACACTCCAGCCCTTTGTTATAACTTAAATCTAGGACACGAAGCTGTGTCCTCATGTACAACAAGAAAGATTCTGGGATTCTTTGAAGCTGCAAGGAATCCATGTAATAAGGCCTTTGCAAAATCAAGGTTGAAAGGCTAGGGCATCTGGGGGAAAAGTCATCTGGAATTTCTTTTATTTCACTTCTCATAAAAGAAACTCTCTCCAATTCAGCGATCCAATGTTTCTCCTCCGGAATTTCAGTGAGATTAGATTTAACCATGAACTTTGAGATCCTTAAAGCCATTTCTCTCATTAAATCATGCATCTTAACATGCCATGTTCCGGCATACCATTCTCCCCCTTCCAATAAGAAAATGTCTACAAGTTTATTCAATATGGAATGACCCTCGTCTCTATCTTCACATAATCCTTCTGCAATCAACTTCATTATTACTTCATCCTTGCGAATATCATGATCTTCAGGATACAAACAACAATAAAGGAAACACCTTTTCCACTTTTCTTCTTTCAATCTGTTGTAGCTAAATTCAAGTATATCAAACACATATTTTTCCAGCTGATCTCCCATTTGAGGAAAACCATTTCGGAAATTCTTAATGGCATTCCTCCAACTGTGGCCATCATTCACCCCTCGCATGCTTGCAGCTACAGTTTTGAGTGCCAATGGTAAGCCACCACACTTTTTTGACAATTCTTTGGCATGTTTTTCAATAGCATCAGTGAGCACAAAATGCTTATCTTGTACTTAAACCTCCTTGAACAAATTCCAAGCTTCCTCCTCATTAAAAACATCAACTTTGAACATCTTGTCGCATCCAATCCAATGACACACATCTTGTAATCGAGTTGTTAAAATGAGCTTGCAACCCTTATCCTTAAGAGGGACACCCAATTTCACCAAGTCAATTTTGTCCCACACTGCACATCATCCAATATGAGCACAACATTATTCCTCACTAAATGATTGCGTAAAATAGCAGCTCTTTGCACTTCATTGTCAACATCAGACAATCTAATATCAGCACTTTTCGCAATGTTATCTTGTAATTTCCTGATGTTAAAATCTTGAGAAACTGTAACCCAGTAAACCTTAGGGTTTTCTTTGCGGATTTGGTTATATAGATGTTGTGCCAAAGTTGTCTTCCCAACACCTCCCATTCCATACACCCCGATACTAGTCACATTTTCATCCTCTACCCATCTATATATTTCTACTAAATTAATTTTAGATGTTGCCCCAAATAACTGATCAACATTGAGTTCATATGATGTACTCACATCCAGTGTAGGTTCAACAGTATTACTTCTGCCCTCTTCTCTATGCTTTTTAACTCTTTCTGTCATCCCTTCGATTTCTTGTGCTTTTATTAACTTCCGAGCATTCTTCATTATCAACCCCCCACCTTGTATGCTTTCCTTGAATGTTTCAAAGTTTGTTTCCAACTTATTTACTCGCTGAAGCCAACCCTCGACTCCTTGTTTCCTCTTCCTTTCCCCTCCTCTTTCTAAGTTCTTCAACTTTGCTTCCATGTCATTCGCTTCCTTGTGAAGTTGATCTACTTCATCTTTTAGAGTTTCCAGATTTTCATCAAAACCCATATATCCTTCAAAGTTACTAAGTAACGAGAGTATCTGCTCCATTGAGTCTACCAAGAAAAAGCAATGGCCAACAAAATGAGTAATTTGAACAAAGAAGAAAGCACTAAAGAGTTAAATTGGATTACACACCCCTGTTTTGCATGCCTAATTGAAAACCGAAAATTTAACAGCTATAAGCCTGAAATATGTTAAATTATTAGGAAACTGAGAAATATTAGAATACAAAAATGGGATATATGTATATATATATATATATACTATAAAAAATGTAAAATTGCAATATACCATAATTAAAAAATACTTTATAAGAATGATAAAAATAAATAGTTAAAAAGTGTACTATAAAATGATAAAAGTGCATAGCAAATATATATGTTACCATTACACATTTCAAAGAATAAAAGGGTATGATCTAGACCCTACAAGTGTAATATATAACGTCACTACTGGAAATTATGAAATTTCCGACCACTTGAAAGTGGATCTTAAATCAAGTTGAAAGCAAAAAGTGGTCGGAAATAGCAACAAATATTTTTCCGAATACCAAAAGTGGTCGGAACAAGACTTTCAACTTGATTTAAGATCACTTTCAGGTGATCGAAAATTCCATAATTTTCAGTAGTGCGTGATGTTTGGTTCAAAAGAATAAAGATAAAAAGAAATAGAATATAAATCCAAGAAAAACGGAAAGGGTAATAAACATGAGATTATATAGGAATCATATTTTTATGTTTGGTTAGATCATGGAATAGAAAAAGAATATCATTTAAATAACTAAAATGTTCAATTCATATTCAAAATAAAATGCATACAAATATACAAATACTCACTGGCCTTCTAAAATAAAATAAATTAATAATGGTGATGCAACGTGATCGTCTACATACCTTTAAGAGTTCAGAATAGATCTATACCGGCCCGCAGCGCAACAGCCATAATTTGCCTTTAAAAACTGGAAGGATTTAACTTAACGGTAGCTTAACAGCAATGAAGAAGCTAAAAACCTAACACACAGAGAGAGATATACTTAAAATTTTCTTAGCTTGAAATAAATTAATTAACAACAAAGTCACCAGAGCTCTTAAAAAAAAAAAAAAAAAAAAAAAAAAAAAATCACCTGAGAAATTCATTGGAAGGAACAAAGAAACCCCAAGCTAGAGTACTTATTTGCTGTTTCTGTAGGTACTGTACAATTTCTATTGTCTTATATGTACACAATGAGAAATAATAATGGCATTTTTTCTTTTGACAAACAAATTATGTGAATGGATAGTACCTACCAGTGGGTCAAGAATGTTTCCTAGTAGCCGCTCGCGTTTAGCTCAATGGTTTAGTGGGCAGTATTTGGGGTAAAAGACTAAGGTTCGAATCTCGACGGCGACAATGTGGGATTATGTTCAAAATGGACAGATTCTTTGTGTGAATCGGCATTTAACCCTACCTACTAACCCATTGAGTTACCGTGATTTACATCCTCCCACATGCTCTGTCGGATCGGTGTGTAGGGGGAGCCTTAAGGTTGGAAATTTAGCCTTGAGCTAAGAATGTTTCCAAGTCAATTATTGTACTAAAGAAATTGGGATAAGATCGAATCCAACGCCACAATCTAGAAATTTTGTTGTGATCCATAAATTTTTAAAAAATATTTTTAATATAATAAAGATGTACTTAATATACATTATTTGATAGTATACAAAATGGTGTATCTTTAATACTCAAATAATGTAGTTTTAAACCTTTTGTAAAATAAAGTTTAAAAATAGAGTATGATGCAATCGTTATGCGTTGGACCCGTGTCCAGCAAGCATGCTGGACACGGGTAACAGTGCCGTTAGGCACTGTTATCTCCTTTTTTTTTTTTTTTTTTTTTTTTTAAATTTCAGACCGCTTCGTTATAGGAGTATATGTTCATAATTTTATTACTATATGTTAATAAATGTACATTCATAACTCCATAAATGTACGTTCATAACTCTATAACTGTACATTCATAACTCCATAACTGTACATTCATAATTTTCGAAGCTCTATGTTCACAATTTTAGAGCTCTATGTTCATAATTTTATCACTATATGTTCATAATTGTAAGTTCATAATGTTAGAGCTCTTTGTTCATAATTCGATCAATAACTGTACATTCATAATTCCATAACTGTAGATTCATAATCTCATAACTGTAGATTCATAACTCCATAACTGTAGATTCATAACTCTATAACTGTACATTCATAACTCCATAACTGTACATTCACAATTTTCGAAGCTCTATATTCACAATTTTAAAGCTCCATGGTCATAATTTTATCATTATATATGTTCATAATGTTAGAGCTTTGTGTTCATAATTTCATAATTGCATAACGGTACATTCATAACGACATAACTGTACATTCATAACGGCATAACTGTACATTCATAATCCAAAAAAAAATAACGCCGTTAATGGCAAAACGCGCGCGAATAATTTTTTTTTTTAACTAAATAACGCGTTTTTTTTTTAAAAACGACGTCGTTTTGGGCCCATGTCCACAATTCATTGTGGACACGGGTCCAGGGCATAATTTGCCTATGATGCTGATTGACCTTTTTGGCGCAAATTATGCCATGGAATCGTGTTCACCGAGAATGGTGAACACAAGGCAAAACGACGTCGTTTTTAGGCAAAAAAAAAAAAAAAATTCGCGGATGTGGAGTTAACGGCGCGCGTTTGATCAAATTATGAATTTTCTGTTATGAGATTATGAATTTTATGAAAATTCATAATCTCATAACAGAAAATTCATAATCGCATAACAGAAAATTCATAATCTCACAACTGAAAATTCATAATCTCATAACAGAAAATTCATAATCTTATAACAGAAAATTCATAATCTCATGGTTCCAAAGTGAATGTGTAGGCATGGTTCCAAAGTGAATGTGCAGGCATAGATTCATAATTTATGAATGTCCGTGATTTCGGACGGGAATGTGTAGGCATGGTTCCAAAGTGAATGTGCAGGCATGAATTCATAATTTATGAATGTCCGAAATCTTTGTTCACCTCAAATTAAAGTGAAACCGCAAAATGTGAAAATAAAGAAGAAAAGTCACGCAATTAATTAAGAAAAAAAAAAAATAACGGTGTACTAACACCGTTGGAACCGTGTTCACCATGAATGGTGAACACGGTTCCATGGCATAACGTCTGCCTTTTTGGTATAGAAAACCTACAAATGCAACTGGGCTGGATGTATTCATTTTCAATAGGCGTAGGAGTTTTACTGATGTCTGCAAACACCTAAGCAAATATAATTAAGAAGAATATAACAATTATGCATACCTTTATGAGTCCAGATCGAATAGTTAAAAGTAATCTGAAAAATAAATATAAACTATGTAAGAATTAATTAAAACTCAATAAAAATAATTTTACCAAATAAATTTAGAAGAAAGAGCTAGAGATAGCCGATTTACTCTTTTTTTAATTAAGTATAATTTTTTTTGAGTGCTAATTAAGTATAATTAAGAATAAAAAGTCTTAAAATTTAGCATATATATTTTAAATTTGAAATTATTTATACTAAATAGGTGTGAGTCACAGTCAGCAAATTCTAATGTTTTTTGAGCAGGTATATTTTTATTTTATTTTATTGAATGAAAATCAAGAAATTTTCAAAAGTTATAATTTGTTTACTAACTTGAAAAATTGAAGAATTGAAGAAGTGGAAAAATGAAAATTGAAAAACTTTTTTACTAAATTCATTCTTCCAAATTCTTACTCTTATCTCCATTCTCCATATCTCTTAAGGATTTTGGAGAAAGAAAAAATCAACTTCTTCATTTGGAGATATGGCAAAACGCACGTGAACAGTGCCTCTCTTGAGATCTAGGGATCAACTCCTTCTTGTTCCGTTCCCATATTCCTTGCTGGCTGCTCATGAGGCACCTCATCTTCATCTGCCATGAGGCACAGTTCGTCTGATTCTTGACTGAATTGGCACATCAGTCCTTTCTCCTCATCAGTGTTTTCGTCTTCTGAGCTCGAACTTGAGGAGCTACTTTCGGTTGCAATTGTGTCAGAAGTTTCGTTTACTACCATCGCCTTCCTTCTTCCTTCATTTCAGGAGTTTGATGATTCGGGCTTGTCGCTCCTTTTATATCTTTCTCCAGTCTCTTTTGAGGGACTTGTGGTAGTGTTGTTATCTTGATGCTTGCTCACTATAGGATGAGGACAGTTCGCCTTGAAGTGTCCTGGCTTTCGGAAATTATAGCACAATAGTGGCGAGTCCATGGTTTCGGTTTTTGAGGTTTGAGGGAAATTCTCGTGCTTCTTTCGGTGGCCCGATCGTTGTGGGTCTTGAAAGTTGTTCTTTCTCATGAACCTTTTCATTTTCCTGACAAATAGTGCATATTGTTAATCAGATAAAAAATCACAAGAGTTAGATTTCGACCTGTTGGATGTTGATGCTGATTGATTTGCCACAAGAGCAATGTTTCTCGTTTCTGATTCTTCGGCATCTTTCGGTTCATGTTCGAACTCATATGCTTTGAGATCACTAAAAATCTTGGTCGTGCTTGTTGTTTTCATGTCTCGATTATCCCTCATCGCAATAACCTTCATTTCCCATGATTTTGGTAACCCACGAAGAATCTTCATATTCATCTCCTTTTCAGTTAGCTCTTTCCCGAGATCTGACAGATCGCCCATAAGTCTGGTGAATCTGAGTTCCATCTCCATGATTGTTTCATTTGGCAGCATTTTGAAATCTTCAAATTTTTTCATGGCCATTGTCAGTTTGTTGTCCTTTTCTTGCTCGTCTCCTTCTCCCAAATTCATTAGGACATTCCACACTTCCATGGCATTTTGGCACTTTCGGACTCTGGGAAACAAGGAATCATCCAGAGAGTTGTAGAGAATATTTCTTGCCGCATTGTCCAGATTTGCCCTCGTTCTTTCGTCCGAGGTATACTGCTCTTTCGGCTTTGGTATCATTTGTGCAGCTCCTACTCCCTGTGCGGCTGCTTGTGCATTCGCCATCATGACCGTGATTGGTCCGGTTGTTATGACGTCCCACATTTCATCATGAATAGAGCATAGGAGAGCCTGTATTCTTAACTTCCAGTCATCAAATTTAGCAAGACTAAAGGCAAGTTTCTTAAAGCGATGCGCATGATCCTTTTCCATTTTTTAAAGATAAAGAGCGTGCAAAGAAAATATGCAAGATTTTCAAGAGATTTTTGATAAGGGATCTACCAGGCAATAAACGCAAAGCCTTTACCGATCAAGGTACTGGCTCTGATACCACTTGTTGGTCCCGATAGAATGTAGCGAGAGTCTAGAGGGGGGAGGGGGGGTGAATAGACTCTCTTCGTGAAATGCCCTCAAAGTCACCTTTCGGTGTTGGCGCAGCGGAAAAGTTAGATTCGTTTACTTGCTTTGCACGAGTTTACGATATGAGGAAAACTTTCGGTAAGTGTGATAATGAGGATGATATGAATGCAGAGATAAAAAGTGTAAGTAAAGAGATAGAAGGGACAAGAGATTTTATAGTGGTTCGGCTAACGTTGCCTACTCCACTCTTCTTCCACAACTGATGGAAGGATTGCACTATCGCTCTTTAGTACAATTACACAAAGACCTCCTTGATCACTAAGCCGGACAGCCTTCGTAGGTTTTTCAACTTCTCGAGTTTACTCCGCCTCAATCAACTTCTTCTTCAGAGTTGAGGTTGGTAGAAAATGATTTCTTGATTTCTCCAATGTGATGAAGTCTTGACAGTGAGAGATGATATATTGCTTGAACAAATGGCAAGACTTCTTTAAGGTGTAAGAAAATGATAACTGACTTTCTTCAAGTAACTTAACACCTTAATACTGGTTCACAAAAGCTTTTAGAGATTTGAGAGCGTTCAAGAGCTTTTGCAAGTGAATGAGTCGAGTGAAAAGAACCAGCTCCTTCTTAGTTGATGAAGGTGGGTTTATATAGGTGATGAAAATTCATCCGTTGGAGGGAGATGAGATTTTCGAACCTTTTAACCAGTGGGCAAGGACCGGGGAGCCTCATGCATTAAATGCTCCATTAATGAGGTTGTACCATGTAGCCGTTGAAGGTATGGAAAGCATTAGGGTTTTGTCCTTTAGCTCCAGGAGATGGTACACCTTCATTTAATGCTCCTTGATTAATGTGTCCCATAAGATGAGGTCCTTATTGTCCTAGGATGTTGTCAAATCAGACAGACAAAACATTCTTCTCGTTGTTGAGGAGAAGTAATGCTTGGTAAGAATCGTCTTTAACAAAACTGTCCTTTCGTGATAGTTGACAACTCCTGCTTGACTTTCGTTGTTGTTCATCATGCCTTGTGTCTTCATTCGTTTTGGAGACCCTATCACTAGTCATAACTCATTTTCGTGTGTTTGTCTAGCTTAACACGAATTACATGGGAGTTATGGCAACTCTCGTCTAGGACGAAAGCAGCGATCGAAAAAGCTAATAGTTAGGGGTCTACTTTTCTACAATACATTGGTATCATCAAAATCCTAATACAAGGTTCCTAACACACACACACACACACACACACACACACACACACACACACACACACACACACACACACACACACACACACACACACATATATATATATATATATATATATATATATATATATATATATATATATATATATATTTATTTATTTATTTATTTATTTATTTATTTATTTATTTATTTATATATTAGAATTATATGCTAGTTATTTCCTAAAATATAAATATCAAATTTATAAAAATGTTTTATATTATTATTATTATTATTATTATTTACAATAATTTAAATATATAAAATCTAAATAAATTTAAATTTTTAATATAAAGGACTAATATTGTGCACCTATTTCTTGGACATCGCGCATAAAAAATACTAGTAATAAAATAAAAATTTAAGAAATTAAAAACTAGAGGAATGGAGAATTGGAAAACTGGAGGAATAGAGAAATGGAAAACTAGAAGAATGGAGAAGGAAAACTGGAGAAATGGAAAACTGAAAATGGAAAAACAGAGAAATGAAATAAACGACCCCTTAATGCTTCAGATCGAACAAACATTTGCTGCAGAGGAAATATAAAAAATTCATCTATTTAGTCAAGAGAATAGATGCATACCTGCAGCTATGGTTTGTGTTTTGAAACTAGAATTCAGTTAGCAGTAGCCTAGATGCAGATAGAGATCAGAGAGAGAGAGAGAGAGAGTTGTGCACTGCAGAGAGAGAGAGAGTTATGCACTGCAGAGAGAGAGAAATTGAATGGAAGGAATCATGAAATTTCAAGGAAACATCCTTTTTTTTTTTTTTTTTTTTTGGAAACATCCTATTTAATTTGTTGTTTCTGTACGTACAATTTAATGTCAACGGTCAGAAATTTATTATGGCATGTTTGATAAATGGTTGTTGGAGGACAGATGTAAGCTAGCAGCTGATTGAGTTAATTAACCAAACACAAATATTAATTTTTTAATTAAGTTAAACAATTAATAGTTATCAAATATGTTAAAATTAACTGATAGGCTAACTATTTTACCAAACAGGATTTGAGTTGCTGCGTATACATAATACAATTTTATTAAAGTTTAATTGCTCTTTGATTTTGATAATTATATCTTATATATTTACAATATGATTCACACTTTTACTTCTTATTTTGATCTAACTAAACCATAAGTAACATTATTAAAAATATAAATTAGTAAGGACAATCCCAACTAAGTTGATAAGCTCATTGACTTGATTTTATTGACATTTTTAGTTTGAGTTAGTCATTTATGAACAATCTAAGCCGTTTTACCACCTTGTAATCTTTTACCGACTAGAATCATAATGCAGGATTTATCAAATACACACTATTAATTACTCCGTATTAAATAGTCACTTCAGGTTTTTCTGTCACCCAAAAATATATATGTAAAATTAGTCAATTAAAAGAGATATTTAGCTGGAAAGAATGCAATTTGAATAAATAATTGAAGCCAGTTTCCAGTGCACCGATATACGGATAAACCGACTGTACATGTAATTAAAATAAAGAAAGCCATATGACTTTGATAGGAATCCAATGACAGAAATTTGCGGAAAATTGACTGAAATATGTAAAAGGTGCTATGAATTTTTCAAAATGTGCGGCTGTTTTTTTTTTTTTTTTTTTTTTTTACAAAAATATGTAAAGTGTGTTTGGGACTTGCGTTTTAGCTGTGTCCCAAACGGTCATATCATATTTTTTTTTTTTTTTTGGGTTTCTTAAAATGCAAGTTGGAATTGCAGTAGGTTTAGGTATCATATACCTAAAATGCATTTCCTAAATGCATTTTACGTATTTACGTTAAACGCAATTGTCACATGCGTTTTTGTTTTGCACCTACCTCCTCCGGCGGTTATTTCCGGCGCTTTCTTCTAACCATCATCTTTCATTATATTATTTATTCTTAAATACTGCAACTTTTCTTAATGGGTGACAAGGCAGAGATAATCCTTGCCGGAGGGGAGATCGACGGTGTTGAACCCCTGTAAGAACTGCTTCTTGGCCTCGTCGGTTGAGACGCTGGGAGAGATAACCACCGCCTCTCCGGGCTTCCAGTTCACCGGCATCGCAATCTTGTGCTTCGCCACAAGTTTCAGCGAATCCAACACCCTTATCACTTTATCCATGTTCCGGCCAGTGCTCGCCAGATACAGAAAGCTCATCTTAATCTATAAATTAAATTAAACAAGCCGTGAAAATTGTCGCCGATATGATCATAAGATAAGGATAATAAAAAGTAACTAAAAACCTTCTTGTCGGCGGCAACGATGTGGAGAGCCCGGGAAGGAACCTGGTTGCCGGCGGAGTCCTTCTCGTCGGGATCAACCATGTTGAGAAACTTAATGAGTTTCCTGTCGGGATCAGCGATGATGGGGTATCCGACCTTGTGGCCTTTAGTGTAAGCTTCAATGTCCTTGATCCATGCCTTGTGAGACTCGACTTCGTCGCAGGACAAACCAAGCAGCTTCACTCCACGCTCAGACCCATCAGTTCAGTTCAGTCACCCGAAAATCAAGAAAACAGAAAAACAACAAAACCCATTGCATGAATACATACCAGGGTGAGAGAAGAGGACAACGGAGGTGTCTATGTAGTCATGGAGCTTGAAGCTGCCATGGGTGGTTTCAACTTCAAGTTTAGGGATCTCGTCGCGGAAAAATGACTAAAATGTGTAGTGGCGGGATCGGGGTAGCAAAACGCATCAGGCAGATGCGTTAAACGTATTATTCGTTTAACACATCTACCAGACAGATGTGTTAAACGTATTATTCGTTTAACACATTTACCAGATGCGTTTTGCAGTATGTGATACGTATACGTAAAACGCATTTTTACATATACAATACCTAAGCCGCAAATCCTACTTGGGGTTTAAGAAAATTCAAAAAAAAAAAAAAGTTACTGAGACAGACCCAACAACGCAATTCCCAACTTCGATTTACATATTTTTGTCCAAAAACAAGTCAATACACATTTTCGAAAAAACATGTTGGTCAATACACATTTTAGTCATTTTTCCAAAATTTGCTTGCACAGTTAGCTGCCTATCATGTTTTTTTTTTTTGTTTTTTTTTTTTATTTTTTTTATTTTTTATTCCATGTATAAAAATAAAGGACACATGAAAAATCATGTTTGATCTTAAAACTTATTCTTCTCCAATCTCAAATATGATATGTAATTACATTTGATTATTGTATAAGTTTTTTATTTATAAATTTATAATAACATCGATCAATTTAAACATGATAGTTAGTATTAGTATGTGTGGTCATAGTTATTAATTTATTATCAAAATAATCTAACTTGTAGCTCTGATGGGAAAGTATTTCTTTTTAGTTTTCTTTGTTCAAAATAATAAAATAAAGACTTTTCATTTAAAAAAAAAAAACTATATTAAGAATGCAATGAAATAATTTATTTACAATAAAAATTAACATGATTTTGATGATATAAATTTACAACTCTTTGTTAATTAGGAGTTATATTTGAAAATGACATTCATGCATCAAATAAATAATGACAATAATCAAATCAATATTTTGAAAGGAGATATAAGAAATCGTAAAATCAAATTAAATTACATTCAAAAATAGTCTACATAGAAATATCTTAGAAGGAGTGCACGCATGCAAATAATTGAAGCTAGTGAATCAACTTTTCAATTATATATACCGTATCTACTCAAATTGAATAAGAATCCACACATTTGCTGAAATATATTATTCTTTCTTTTAAATTTTAACTCTAAATATTCATTAAGTAACAATAAAATTCTTCATATTCTTTAATTATATTACTATTCATTCTTCCAAAGGCTAAACCCCAAACCTAAGGGTCCCCCATACTCCGACCCAACAGGACATTTGAGAGAATGTAAATCATGGTTACTCTTAATACGTGGTCTTGAATTTCCGCCAGAAAAAAAATAATACTGAAAAATCTATAAAAGCGGTACAATTCCCTATAGATATACCACCAGAAATTATAACAGTACTTCAGCAGCATGAGAAACTATTCCAAGCACCTGCTACGCTACCCCTACATATATTTTTCAATCACAGGATTCATTTACATCCGGGAACCAGGCCAATCAATGCTCGCCCATATCGCTACCCACACTTCTAAAAAGAAGAAATTGGAGAAGCTTGTTACAGAAATGCTAGATCAAGGAGTTATCCGACCTAGTCAAAGCCCTTTCTCATCACCAGTCCTACTCGTAAAAAAGAAAGATGGGACCTACAGGTTTTGTGTAGATTATAGATCCTTGAACGCTGCAACCGTACGTGACTAATTTCCTATTCCTACTGCAGAGGAGCTCTTTGATGAATTAGGTCAAGCAATGATGTTTACAAAATTAGATCTTAGAGCAGGCTATCATCAAATAAGGATGCATGACCGGGACATATATAAAACCGCCTTTCGAACTCACGAAGGACATTATGAGTTTCTTGTCATGCCTTTTGGGTTAATGAATGCCCCGTCTACCGTCCAAGCAACTATGAACTGCATGTTCCACCAATTCTTGAGAAAATTTGTAATCGTATTCTTTGATGACATCTTGGTTTATAGCCAAACACTGGAGGATCATATACCACCTACAAGAAGTGTTTGGCACATTAAAACATTATGCATTCTATTAAAAGTTGAGCAAGTGCAGATTTTGTCAAACTTCTATTGAATATCTTGGTCACATAATAGATCATAAAGGTGTGCATGCAGATCCTAACAAAATTGACGTAATGATAAACTGGCCAACACCAAAAACCATCCGACAATTAAGGGGATTCCTGGGACTAACAGGATATTATCGCCGTTTCATAAAAGGTTATGCCAACATTGCAGCCGCACTAATTGACTTACTTAAAAAGGATGCATTCCAATGGGGACAGAAGGCAGATGAAGCATTTACAACCCTTAAAACTATAATGACAAAGACTCCGGTTATGAGACTCCCTAAATTTAGCAAGCCTTTCATTGTAGAAACAGATGCATCTAATGAAGGCATTGGAGCAATTCTTGTGCAGGATGGGGACATACCAATTGCTCTTTTTTTTTTTAGCAAAAAGTTGGGATCGCGCTTAAGAAACTCATCAACATATAACATGGAGCTTTTTGCCATTGTAGAAGCGGTACAAAAATGAAGACAGTACCTACTTGGGAGATTTTTCACCATCCGAACAGACCATAAGAGCTTAAAGGAGTTGTTACAACAAGTAGTTCAAACCCCAACTCAACAGCACTATGTTAGAAAATTAATGGGGTATAATTTCAAAATAGAGTACAAACCTGGTAGTAATAATAAAGTAGCAGATGCTCTTTCAAGGAGAGAAGAAGAGGCAACTCCGAACACATCATATGGGGAAGTATTCCTCATAGTAAGTAAACCAATCCCAGAACTTCTAGAGACCATACGAAAGGAAAATAATTCAGAACCTGACATACTACAACTTCACCAAAAAAATACAGAAGGGAGACTACCTAATCATTATGAAATCAAAGAGGGCTTAGCTTTCTATAAAGTTCGATACTACATCGGAGCAAACTCTAAGATGAAATCTCACATACTACAAGAGTTCCATTCAACCCCAATGGCAGGTCACACAGGGGTAACCCGCACACTGGTACGGCTTGCAGCTAATTTTCATTGGACAAACATGAGGGAAGATGTGAAAAAGTTCATTGCAGCCTACCAAGTATGCCAACAAACTAAATATTCAACACAACCCCCTGCAAGACTACTCCAACCACTCCCAGTTCCTTCGAGAGTTTGGGAAGATGTAACCATGGAATTTATAACAGGATTACTGGCATCACGAGTGTGACACCCCGTAATCCAAATTTGATTAAAGGATTAATTAAGTCATTAATCCTAACCCAATTGATAGTTTAATTCCTTAAGTTCCTGAAAATTCAATAGTCGGGGACTAGTAATTAGCTAGTCAACCCAAAGTCAAAGTTGTACCTTAAGCTTTGAGAGTTGTTCCCTTGTTCCCTTACACATTTCATTTTAGTAAGGGCAAATGAGACATTTCCTTGGCAATAGTCTTTTAAGCTAACCTAGGAAGACACATTTCATTTCTTCAAACACTCTCCAAGAGAAAAATCATAAGTACTCTAGAGCTCGAGATTCATGCTGGAAAGTTGAACCTCGCAGTCCAGAGCTTGGGAGGTGATGTAGAAGATGAGGATAAAGCAGACCAAGAAGTGGAAGTGGAAGCGCCAGAAGCTGATGAGGTTGAGGAGAGTGACTCGGAGAGCGAAGAAAACCAGAGAAGGAGGGAGGCTAGAACCAAAAGGGAACACGACGCCATGACTCACGAGGAGCGTGTGGTCACCCTTCTACGCCAGCAAAACCGAATGTTAGAGGAAGGCTTCGCCTTCATGAAGACGCAGTTTGTTGCCGTTCACCAGAGGCTAGATCAGATTGAGGTCAGTTCTAGCCGAGGAAGAGCCGATGAAGAGGCTGACGAAGCTACCGACGAGTCAGAGAGCGAGTCGTTCTAGCTTAGTGTTGTGGTATCCCCGTTCACCCTTTTTCTCCCGTAGCTTGTGTTACCTTTTCGGTTGTTGTTACCGTTGTTGTGGTTTGCTTTATGTGTTTGCTTTGCTTTTTTGCTTGGTTGGTTTGTTGGTTTAGAGGTTGTGTTAGAAGTGGAGGCTTAGCCTTTGATGGTTGGTTAGAAGTTGGTTTGTTTTGTTTGGTTTAGAGTTTGACATGCTCATTATCGTCGTTGATTATTCCTTTCAACTCTTGAATGTCATGACCTCTTGCTTATGTTTGATACCTTTTGAATCCTTTGTGTTTTGACCAAATAAGGATGTTCTTGACACTCTTGTCACGTTGTGGTTTCGTTTCACCATTTGATCTAATTCGTCGTACCCAAGCTTCGAGGACGAAGCTTCTTTGAAGGGGGAGAGGATGTGACACCCCGTAATCCAAATTTGATTAAAGGATTAATTAAGTAATTAATCCTAACCCAATTGATAGTTTAATTCCTTAAATTCCTGAAAATTCAATAGTCGGGGTAGTAATTGGCTAGTCAACCCAAAGTCAAAGTTGTACCTTAAGCTTTGAGAGTTGTTCCCTTATTCCCTTACACATTTCATTTTAGTAAGGGCAAATGAGACATTTCCTTGGCAATAGTCTTTCAAGCTAACCTAGGAAGACACATTTCATTTCTTCAAACACTCTCCAAGAGAAAAATCATAAGTTCTCTATATTCTCTCTAAAAGCTAGTTAGCTTTCTTTCCAAGACACACCTAGGGCTACCAAGATCTTTCAAGTTTGCTTTCAAGATTCTACCTTTCATACCTTTGAGCATCTAGGAGGGTAAGATCTAAGCTCCTCTTGTGTTTTTAGTGTATTCTAAGGTATCTTTTTATAAAGGTGAAATCTTTATGTTGTTTTAGTGTGTTCTTGAAGTGGGTGTGGAAAGGGAGCCTTGTTGGGAGCCCTGTGGAGTGTTGTAAGTGAAGGATAAAGTCTACAAGAGGTAACCCATGCTCTACAAAATCTATTTTGTTTACCTATATGATGATTTCTTGGATTCTACATGTGTTTTGCTATGAAATGTGAGTGTTTATGCATTGTCTTGTGAAAATGCATATCTAGAGCTTGTGTTTAGGGTTCTTGTATGTCATTGCTTGGCTATTCCTTTGATTTAAGTCATTTTGTTGTATTTGGTGAGATTTGGCATGTTTTGGACTTGAATTTGAGCTTGGAGTTGAAAATCCCCGAAGGGATTATTTTGGTGTACAGGTATGTACCAGCGGGCGGAACGACGGGCAGAGTTCCACCCGCCGCCCCACCCGCGGGGTACATGGCCGGTGGGTGTGGTACCCGCGGGCGGAACCACGGGTGAGGGTCTACCCGTGGGTCCACCCACGGGGAACATCATGGTTGGTGTTCGGGATTTGTTCCCCGTGATTCTTTTGACTCGGTATTTGGTCTTTTGACTTCCCGATGTTCTTTTGTGGAACTATTTGAGCGTCTTCTTGATCTTTCATATGTCTAGAACTATATGGTAGGAATCCATGTAGGTTTTGGTATCTTGAATCGTGCTAAGTGTTCAACATTGTGATTCATTGAACCGTGATGAGTCTTATGTGTTCTTCGGAACTATGTTTGGTTTACCCGTTTGATAAGCACTAGTACAAAAAAGAACATAGAAGACTGGCATTTAGCAACTGTTCTTAAAATAACAGTAGTATATTCTTACGCGGTGACAATTTCGTAAATAATTGATAAATAATCCACTACTGTTATTAGCTGCAACAGTTGTGGTTTAAAAAAAATAAAAAACGCTTTTACATTCTGCCACCGTTTTTTCACGAAACAGTGGCGAAAAATAAATATTTCCGCCATTGTTTCGTGACAAAACAGTGGCGAAAAGTTTCAATAATTCATATAAAAGATAAAAAATAATTATTTTTATCAGATCCGATGAATCTGCCTCAGTCACACCGCCGTTCCTCTCTCACTCCTTCACGCCTCTCAACATCTCACATCCATCTTGGTCTATCTCTTCCATCTTCACCTCTGCCTCTCAACATCTCAAATGGGCGACACCGCCTGTGGTGGTGGAGATGGCCAACGTCGCCGGCCTGCCTGAAGGACGACGACGACGACAGCGCGACGGTGCTTATGGACGACGATATAGATCTGGATCCGCATCAGATTGAAGAGACCGCATCCTTGTCCAGACCCTCGTCCTTAGAGATAGTTCCGGGTTGTTTGGTTCTTGAATCGGGAAGACGGCACAGCGGTGCTTATTGACGACGTCGCCCACCTCCCTCTTCCAATCTATCGTCCGACGGCCCCGACGATACAGATCTGGAATCGCATCAGATGGAAGATACCGCATCCTCGTCCATAGAGATAGTTCCGGGATGTTTGGTTCTCTCGCAAATCGGGAACGGGTAGCGCGTCCCTCACCACTTCCCTCGCTAGGGCTGTTGCTCCGACCAGAGGACTGCCTCCGCTAGGTAAACTATATTTTGGATGATTTTTTTCTAATAATATTAGTTCCTGACTTTTTCTGCATAAATTTCCCTCCTTCTACTTTAATTTTTTCCAAAACCTTTTGGGATGTGGATATATGGCTTTTCATTTGTAATGCTTGCAACATTTTGCTATTTTTGTTTGTGCGTTCCTAGATAATCTTCTTGTTGTTATTGTTTTCTCCAGATTTGATTGTCCAGATTTGTTAGATCTTTGATGCTTAGTCCAGAAAGTTCTTTTCCCAAAAGCTGCCTGCATTTATGTGAAACAAAGAACTGGTATGCTTCTTGTCTCTTGCTTTTGCTTCATTTAGCTTTCACCTTATCTTGATCTTTTTAGACAAAACTATCTTATGCATTTTCTAGAAACTGCCCTTAACATTGCATGGAAGCAACAAATTCCTGCAAAATTTGGGATATCTTTTCTGATATTTGTTCAGAATTCGAAGTGTTTTATATGTTACTCTGTTATATCTTCAGATTATGCTTCCTCAAAATTGAACTGCTGCATCAATCTTAGATGGCTCAAATAGACGGTAGGATAAACTTTAGGAAAATGAACGTGGGTTTTGTTAAGTATTTATCAGCTAAGAAGTCAAAGAAGGAACTGCAGAGATTTAGATTATCTGAATAAATGAGACTCTTACTCAAATATGTGGACTTAACTGATTTTCTAATGCTTAAAAAGGCTTATTATGTTCATGCTTTAAAAAGTAAAGTAAAATAGATGGAAGTTTATTACAACTTAGAACTCTAATTTCTTACTAAGCCAAATATGTTGGGTGTAATGGGCTTGAGCAAAATGAAATGGGCTATGCATATAATATTAGTCGATAGATTATATATTTTGGTGAATTTTCAATTTATTGAGAAAATTGAAATTTTAAATAGAATTAACTCATAAACGAGATTTTTAAAATTTTAAAATCTATCACTGAATCAGAATTAATTTGGTTAATTGATCAATTAACCTAATTAATTTCCGATTTGATTGGCTAACCGAGCTAAAGCTAAACAAATGAACACCTCTAGCTTTAAGGTAATAATGCACCTGGGCATAATAACCTCTCCAAGATGTTGTGGTTTCTCTAGCCAATGAGAGAGAATGTTATACACATTTAACCGGAGAAATCCTCATGTGATTCCACTTGAGGGACCAATTGTAGGTAAAAAATTTCTTAAGTGGTTTGATCATTGAGGCATTGAAAGGAAGGGAAACCAAAAGTGGAATTCAGGGCTAATTTGGGTCTCTGAAGGGATGGTAGTTCAATGACATTGTTGGAATATGGGTCATACATCAACTTGGTAAGAACTGAGAAGGCTGTGGTTGAGCTTCAATTGTGTCCTTTTAACCCTAACTGGTATCATAGAGGCAATTGGAAGTCCATTTGCCTTATCTCTCTTGTTCAAAAATGCATTTCCAAATCTACCTGATAATTGTGATGTGTAAATAACCTAAGAGCTATCAGACCTGTTTACCCAAATGACCAAGGAAAGTAAATAAGATTATTTAGCATTATTAGGTAGGTTATTGCATTTGAAATTGCTTGTGAATGACAATTATGTGATGCCATGGCTCTCATAATGCCTAGTCTAGTTCTCACTTTCAGCTCTTTGGATACCTGCACGCACTTGATTTATTCAAATTTTATCCCAGTGGGATGTTATTCTGTCCATGATGTTTATTTACTGAGTCTGAGCCTTAGTGCCCTTACAAATGCTGTAGTGGCATCATCATTGGAGAAATGGTTCAATCTTGTGTTGTTGTGGAGAAGTTGGAAAGAAGCTAACATTGTTGTAAAGGGATCATAGCATAGGCTAAAATAAACTTGCTGAGATTTCTTTTCTTTTGGTATATGTAAGAGTATAAATACAGGTTTATAATACTGGACTTGGAATTAATTTATAGTTTTATACATCCTTGTTTTGGTCAAGCAGTTCGGTATTATATTAAACCACCACCAAAATGTAGCAATGTAATTTTAACTGTTTGCATGTTGCAGTATGATTGCAGTTCAGCTTATATAAATCCAATTGGAAGTATCAGTATGATGGATCTTCGAGCATTTCTGAAATGGGCAGCCATTCATCTTGGTTACTCAACCTTGGCAGAAATTGAAGCCACGCTGAATTGGAGCCTATACGATGCAACTATAGCCAGGTCTTAGTTTTGGCACACTAGTTCATTGATTGTTGTTTAGCCATTCATCTTAGTTCATTGATTTTTTTTTTTTAGCCACTCATCTTAGTTCATTGATTGTTTTTTAGCCATGTCTTAGCTTTCAGTTTGGAACTGCAAATCTGTAATTCATTGATTGTTTTTTAGCTTGAAGTATTGTAATTTTTTAATGTTTGTATGAGAATTGAAGTGTGAAAAACGAAATATTGTTTTGGTTTTTTTTTTTTTAAATTAATTTTTTTAAAAAAAATAAATTGAATCCGCAACTGTTCTTCAAAGAAGAACAGTGGCGGAAAGTAATTTTATTTTAAAAAATAAAATGAATCCGCTACTGTTCCTCAACAAGAAGAGTAGCAGAAAGCGAATATTAAAATAATAATAATACTAATCCGCCACCGTTCAAGTGAAGAACAATGGCGGATTACTCAACTTTTCGCCACTGTTCCACAACAGTAGCGAAAAGTCCAAGACTTTTAGTGACTATAGTATTCGCTACTGTTGTACAACAGTGGTGAAATGCCTTTTACAACAGTAGCGAATGTGTAATTTTGTACTAGTGAAGCATGCTAGTTCGGTGTTTAAATGCTAGCATGTGTGTTGTTTGTACTTTCCTATTGTTGATGATGACTTGTGTTAATCATCGTTGGTGTTGGACTGTGATCCATTTCTTGATTGAGTATGGTTTCATATCTTCGTTGTGATCCGTTGATTGATTCCTGTTGAGGTGTGGTGTGTGTGGTTGTACCTGGATTGCACGATTAGTGGTATGGGACACTAGTCACCAAGGTACGGCAGTGGTCCTCGTGGTGGCCATGGCGCGATTATGGAGTTTGTGACCTAAGTGATGGGTTCACGTATTTCTTGGGTAGCATGTGTTGCCGTGTGTGTGAGCGGTACCCTCGTGTACTATGAATTGGTGGTCTTGTTGGTGGTTTGTTGGTGGGGGACGACGGTCCCAGGAGGGAAAAGGTTGGACTCAGAACTACAGGGGTCCTGAAGGTAATGGTTGGAAATAGACATAAAGTTGGGGGTAACTATAAGGTTGGAACCGGGCATAAGGATGGCATCTCAATTTGTGATGGGTGATGTCACGAAGGCTTGTGTAGCTGTTGTTGTGTGTTTCTCTATTTGTGACGTGTGTAGTCGCAAAGGCAATGTTTTGTCATTGGTTGTGTCCTTATTCTCTTGTGTTATGCATGTCGGGTGTTAATCTACTGTGTGATGGTAGATTACGCCTTGAGCCGTTCTTGAGTGTCGTTGTATTCTTGTCTTCTTGGAATGTGTTCCCTTATCTTTGTTGTGAGTGCACAGAGTCTGGTGTTGATCTCTATCTTGGCTTTTGAAATTGATATATACTATATCCCGTTTCGCAAATGATTTTGTATACATATAAACTATCTACATATGATACTTCACATGTATTGGTGGGTTACCAGCATCATTCGCTGACCGGGCGTCGTCCCTTATTTTATGTGTTTCTTTCAGGTGATGAGTAGACGAGAGCGCGGTCTAGAACCTGTTAGCTTAGATCCCTTTGTTTTGATCTGTTGTGGCCTGTGTGCCAATGCTAGACATTAGTACTCTTGTTTCTGTATGGATTTAGATTGTGGATTATGCAGATGTTCCGCTGTGCGTTCACCTTTGAGTGGACGTGACATAGCACCCTTTATTTCCTATTTATATAACCCTTGTTTAGTCTTCCGTTGTGCATAATGTTATGATTAGTTATCTACATGTCTAAGGCTTAATTTAGCATGGAAATTAGGGGGTGTTACAACGAGGTCAAGGAACCATCATGGTCTCAGATCACAGAAAGCAGCTAATGTATTTATATTATAGAAATTGTGGCAAAACATCACGGTTTCCTTGCAACAATCGTCTCAGATCGAGACCCAATTTTTCTAAGCAAATTTTGGGATGAATTATTCACACTAAGTGGCACAACACTGAAGAGAAGCACATCATACCATCCACAGACCGACGGGCAGACAGAAGTAATGAATCGAGGCTTAGAGCAATACTTAAGGGCTTTTACTCACGCCAAACCAACCAATTGGACGTCATACTTGGGATGTGCATAGTTTTGTGCCAATACAAGCATTAAAATGACTCCATTTCAAGCACTATATGAAAGACCACCACCCACCTTAGCACCGTATACAAAAGACACAACAACAGTGCAAGCACTAGATGAATTATTGTTGGATCGTGACAGATTGATAAGGCAACTGAAACACAATCTTCGGGAAGCTCAGCATCGCATGGCCCAAAAAGCCAATGCCAAAAGAAGCGAAGTGAAATTTTCAGTAGGAGATAAAGTCTGGCTTCGTCTACAACCATATAGACAGATATCAGTAGCACGTAGAAAGCTCTAACAAACTAGCACGACGCTATTATGGTCCATTCAATATCTTGGAAAAAATAGGAGAAGTTGCATACCACCTCGAGCTACCACCACATGCAAGAATTCATTCAGTATTCCATGTCTCACAACTCAAGAAACACATAGGAACTGAAGAAAATATAAAGGTCCAATTATCGGAAGAAATTGTGGGCCAATCACCAATTTCAACTCCACTAGCAATCTGTGGGGAACGGAATGTTTTAAAAAATAGAAAAATACAACGTTAAGTCTTGGTGCAATGGTCAGATAGTAGTCCAGAAAGGTCCACTTGGGAAGCTGCCGATGAAATGGAACGACGGTACCCGAATCTCCACCTTGAGGACAAGGTGGTCTTCGAAGGGAATGGGAGTGATACGAGTATATCCACAGTGGAAGAAGGTGAAAATCAAGAATTAAGAGAAAGAAAAGAAACAACACATGCTACTAGGCCAAGGAGAGAACGAAGGAAACTGGCATGGATGGCTGATTACATTTGTTAGACTAAGTTTATTCGTAATAGGATACATTAGTTTAGTCCTAATACATTATTATATCATATCAATTAGGAATCATAGTCTTAAGCATAATAGGAGTAACTTAGTATATAATCACCCTGCATGCTAGGAGGAAAGACATGCGAATTATTATTATCTTTTTCTTCTCTGCTATCATCTTCCCTCTCTCTCTCTCTCTCTCTCTGATTTTCCCCTCCTCTAATTCCACCTTTGGAGACTGCATCCACTCAAAGTGGTGCTAGCTTGATATGGGTTCGTATCAGAGATAATATGCTAGTGTTTAACATTTTCATGTTGGGACTCGTCACCAAATTAAGAATGCAGTAATAAAATAAAATAAAATACATGAGATATATCAGATGGCAAAAAGTACTACAATATTACTTAAAATTAATAAATCATTTCAAATATATTACAATTATTTAACGTTATAAATCTATAAATTAGGTTAAATTTTCAATCATACATGAAACAATTAATTAAGCTAATATATATATATATATATATATATATATATATATATATATATATATATATATATATATATATATATATATATGAATACACTTTAAAAGATATATAAGAAAGGGAAATGTTAGATGTACTCCCATTCCCAATGAGCAGGGACCGAGCCAGGATTTATTAGTGCAGGGGGTCAATTGCAATCAGGGCAAGCCCCCTGATGCTATCATGTGGCTCCGCTACTGTCAATGAGTATACTTTTTGCGTTACGTGTATATATTTTATTGAGTATAAAGTAAAAGTAGATGTAATCTGTCACCATATTAATTAAATTAGACATTAAAGAAATATCCAGGAGCATAACTTGAGCAAATAATTGAAGCTATGGGCCAACTTTTGGAAAACTATGCACATTTGAGCCAACAAGTCAATGGGTGAAAAATTATTGAGTGATACGGCTCTGTACTATAATTGCTATAGCTTTAAAATGTTTACCTAACATGGTTGTTGTGATTGAGTAAATGACTAATGTTAAACTTGATAATTTTCAACATTATTTGTTAACACATAAATAATATGTTAGTATTTAGTATTAACAAGTTTTGATTCGTCAACAAATTGACACAACTAGAACATCTAGTAAAAAGAAAAATAGGTCATCTATAAATTTAAAAATTATTTCAAATATATTATAGTATAATGTTATAACGCATGTAATATTGTGAGTGTATCAAATTAAAACTCACAAGAAAGCCATATGGATTGGATAGGAATTTATTTGTTGGTGATATTCGTACAAATAATTAATGTTTTAAATGCCAATGACATTGTGGTTTAGTGGCATGAACTGACTTTTCTAAATAAGAGGTCATGGGTTCACTCTCTAGTGAGAGTAGTATTGACTCTTTCGTGCTTTTTGTGCTTTAGTAGGTTAAGAAAATTGTTATGATCAGATACTACATTTGTAACAGAGTCTGTGTACTAAAAAAAAAAGGCTTTAAATGCTATAGAAGAACACAGATCCTTATCCATGATATGAGGGCAAGTTCAATTCAATTGAGCGATTGAATTGCAATTGGGATAATGTCATGACTTAACTATACAAGGAGATCATGGAGGTGAGTTGTTGCCATGTTTTACTTCAATTTATTTTTATTGAATGTAAACGAAGAACAAAACAATTGTTGTAGAGGAAAATCAAGATTTGTTTAACTTCATGTTTACCATACTAAGACAATGTGGCAAGCTAAGACAAACTTCAAGGAAACTCCAATTCCACGAGCTAAAACCAAGTCAATTGGTTATCCTATACAAGTTGTGTTATCTTATATTCTTATAATTAAAAAGTGAGAAATTAATTATAACTTTTGTTGAACGATGCATATACACGTCAGAGTATTTATATTATTATAGTATACACTTCAGAATTAATTACAGTTTCATATAGCAAGTGTATATACTTCAAACAACTTCAATTTAAAGATAATATAACTAAAATCTTTTTGCATAGACCAATTCTAAGAAATAATTAAGGTGTAGACCAATTTTGAGAAATTAATTATAACTAGTGTCTTGACCATTGCAAAAATGTCTAAATTGGTAGGTGGAAAGGTTAGGTAATGGAAAAGCGACCTATGCATGCACAAAAAGAAAACAATTTCTTACAAAATATAATTGCTAAATCTAATAATCATGGGTAATTAAATTAATTTGTACAACCTATTAATTATTTTGAGTGAGGTTCACTTTTAATTTGGATTTGGTCAAAGTAAATTTAAGTTCTCCAAAGTAAGAGGTTTCCAAATTGATTCTCAAAGTGTGTATCTATTAAATTATGAAAAAAGGAGCTCTGAAAAAGTAAAAGTGTGTATGTTTGTAATAGTATAAATGCAATTTAACTTTTGAATAAATTACAATTTTGGTACTGTGATTGTTGGGTCTTGTTAATTGCAATATACGACTTTCAAAACTGTTAATTTAGTACTTTAACTATTTAATTTTTATCAATTTTGATCACTCTAGTCTAATTAGTTGTCAAATGTCATTGAAAAATTTTAATTAACCAATTAATGTTTAATGTAAGGGGCAAAATTGTCTTTCTATGTCCCGGAGGACCCTTCTTCCCTCTCCCTGCCATCGTTGTCTAATTCCACTGTCTTTCTAATTGGGATGGGATTTCTTAATTAAAGAACATCTCTATTCTATTCTATTCTATGATGAAATAGAATTTACATAATAATTCTGAATTTGGCAAATGAGCGTATCTGTAAAGCCACCTGTCCTTGATTGCATTCGAGTCCTAGCCAACGTTGATCTTCTATCAGAAAGTGTTAAAGATTCAGTAGATCTTCTATCAGAAAGTGTAAGGAATTAGACGACAATGGCGGGAAGAGGGAAGAAGGGTCCTCCGGAAGAAAGACGATTTTACTCCTTACATTAAATATTATTGAATAATTAATTTTTTTCCGTGACATTTGGTCCTCAATTTAGTCGGAGTGACCAAAATTGAATAGTTAAAAGATACTAAATTAACTGTTTTCAAATCGTGGATTGCAATTAACAAGACCCAATGCAATAGTCACCGAATCTTAGATTACCTTAGAGAATGTTAGATTGCTGGAATGTTAGATTACTGTGGATGTTAGATTAATGTGTTTGGTTAAAATTGAGGTATGTAATATAAACTTGTTTGGTTTATGGGTTATCTTTTATGTTATAATTATTATTTGTACTTTAATACCCTTAACATATTTTCATGTATTTCAATAAACTTTAAAATTAAATAAATAGATAAAATAATGGTATTATATATAATTACATGATTTAAAAATATTTAACTAACATAACTTGTGAAACAAAATTATTTTATAAGTTAATATGACGTAATAAAAATAAAATATATAATTACAAAATTAATTAAAAATGATGCATATAATAAGTCTACATAAAATATATATTTTATAATAATTAGAATTAAAAGGGCAAAATGTTTAAATATGCATGGTAATCTTGGATAACCTAAGAAATGTAAGGGAATCACGTTCCTTTCAAAATCCAATGTGGAAGGTATGTTGCATTCTTTTGGTAATGTTATATTACCTTGGGAAAGTAAGATAACATGAACCAAACATGGAATGTAAGCTTATGAATGTCACATTCCCTTGGTTATATTGTATAACCTAAACCAAACACCCCTTTAAAGAGTTTTTTTTTTTTTTTTTTTTTTTTTTTTTTTTTTTTTTTTTTGAATGCTACTGACTCTATTACCATGTAGTATCTGTTAATATCTACTTTTTCAACATACTGAAGCACAAAGAGCCAATAACACCTCCACTGAGACTCGAACTCACAACCTCCCATATGAGAGTTCAATCCGGGTGCCATCTGTGCACTATGTAACATAGAAATTCTCCCTTAGGGGTGCAAATCGAGCCCCGGCCCATGCATATTTTTCTAGCATTTGCATTATATGACTTGCACTGTGCTTATGCATTATTTATATATATCAATAATTTATGCTAAACAAATTCTTAAAAGCATTTTTAAGAAAAAAAAAAAAAAGAAAAAAAAGCCAAAAGTAAAATATAGTACGTAGGAAAATAATTGTACAGGATTTAATAGATTGAGCTAAAATGCAATGAATAATTCATTGGAAATTTAAGAGGTAAAAGTAAGAAATCAACATTCTATAAAAGATTTGAAACATATTTTATTGATTTTTTTTTTTTTCTTGAAGCAATGAGTACTATATTGATACCAATACACAATAAAATAGTCCACTAAAAATATGTAGAAATAAGTATTAGAAGAGTTTGTTCTTTTGAATTATTGAAACTCAAATTAAAGTAGATAAAATTTGTGATGGCTAGAAAACTCAATGAAAACCAAATATAGAGTGACATTAACAAACAACATAAGAGACCTCCAAAGTATCTACTCCAAATTGAACAGTAACAACTTTCGGCTACAATAATCATCCCTAATCACCATTGCTTCCTGCATTAATTTCATTCAACAATCAACAATGTGTAAGATTTTCCCTAATAATATATATTATATATTATATATTATATATTAGGGTCTTAATTAAGTGGTGCAAGTTCACTAGACTTATTAAGTAGTCTGGTTGGACTGAATAACTAGAAGTTGTTAGTCGTCCACCAAACTCTGTGCCTAATATAATCCTGGATTGATGGGATACATGATGATTGATGATATATCACATTCAGTTACGGTACTCAGTATACACCAATACACCATCTAAGGTTCTGAGTCAGGTATGGGTAAATAAATGGCTAACGGTCTACCGTTAATAGGCAACACAACAGGAACATCAACTGTGGCGGGAGATCAACACGGCTACGCTTCTGCTCTCATACGAGGTCAGATCTCTCGTATACTATTGTTCAATAAGATTAGAATATTTAGATCTAACAGAATGAAGATACAATCCAAACTTACCTCCAAAGTATATACTCCAAATTGAACAGTAACAAATTCCAGCTACAATAATCATCCCTAATCACCAATACCTGCATTTCATTCAACAATCAACAATGAAGATACAATCCAAACTTAGTTGCACCGCTGTTAAGTGATTTCATTAATGAAATATCATCACTATACTAAAATCCATTGACTCAAGTAGAAGGGGTTGAGTAGCATAAGTACGAGGCTTAAATTTCAAATTATATACCTAGCAATGAAATAGATTCTTTAAAAGTTCATTATGTGATGAATTTTCATACATGAAAAAAATAAAAGTTTCTAAAAAATATAATTAATAAGCCTAGCTTTGAATAAACAATTTGCGAACATAGAAGAAAAGCTTAGAAGATTATCTCAAACGATCCATATAATGAAATTCAAAATTGACATGTTTATCATTTTAAGTAAACTTTATTTTATCATTGATTTTATGATTATGTCATTGAGTATTATTATTATTTTACAAAGAAAATTGAGTTCAAATGTTTCTCTCTATATATAAAGAATCAAGTGAAATATTTTTTTTTAAAAAAATAAATAAGTCACTAATATTCTTTTGAAATTTATCTTTTTTAAAAGTGGTGAGTTAGAACAACCTTAAAAGTTAAAAGGAACAAATGATAAATTTTAAGAAAAGTAAAAGGTTAGAAGTTTTTAAATTTTAAAAATGTACATTATTTTTAGATAGAATAAAAAGAAAAGTAAGATAAATAATTAGATTGGAAGGACAAGGTAGTATTTGTTAATTTAATTAAGAAAAGATGTAAAATAATAAAATTTTAAACATTTTAATTAAATGTGGTTTTTTTATTGAATAAATATTTATTAACTTGAAAAATGAGAAGATGTAAAACAAAATCCCATAATAAGTAAAACTATTTAAATCTTATAACAATAATCATTGTTATCTTTTAGTTTTGATATACCCAATCATTTATTTACTTTAATTTTAACATCTAATTTAGTATAAATATAATGAAAAAAAATACAAGATAAATTGTGTGGTTAGTGTGGCAGTTATGATTGAATGAGTTACTCTACCTTAAAATAATTTATGGTGGGGTGGTGGCTTAGTATAACATTTTCATACTCTTTTGGTTTTATAGATATATATGCATAATCATTTGGAAGAAATTGATGAGAAATGCACTAAATTGTTAGTGAAATGTTGTTTTATATATCATAGATAGTAAAAACTTACCACTTGATGTGAGATTCAAGGAAGTGTTTGGCATTTGGATTGTGAAACTCCAACGATTCCCACCATTCTTTCTCATCTCCATTGAAGTCGATCCTTTCAAAGGACGAAGGAAGGTATGGTTGTCTAGTAGCATCATCAATGGGAAAAATCGAAGGCATCCTCTTTATATTTTTACAATGCGAAATGATTATTCTTTCAATGGAAGGACAAATCATTTCTCTACCATTGCATATGCTTTTCAATTCTGGCAGGAACTCAAGTCGTAGGAGTTTAAGCTTGGGGAGGGTATTACTACTACCTTCTATACCTTCTTCTTCATCCCCAACTCCCCCTCCTATTATCTCTTCTAATTGTTCGCAGTATGCCACAGTAAGTGTCTCAAGGTTTTTGAGATTTTGCAATAATGCCTGCGACAACTTCTTCATACTATCACATTCCTGGATAGAGAGATGTTTAAGGAATGAGAAGGTGCAGTTAGCTGGAAGAATTGCGTCTTCTCCCTTACACACACTTACTAAATTTGGCAGCCTAGTGAGATCCAAACTCTCAAGACTCTTAAATGGGGTGTTGTTGAAAATCCACTCTACTTCCTTGCAACCTCTTACTTGTAGTTCTTTCACATTACTCATTGATTGGAAATTGTCTGCTAAGCACCCATTCAACCCTTCACAGTCTACAATTTTTAAACCACAAATGTTTGCAGGAAGCAAAACTTGACCTCTTTCCCCTATAAAACTCATTTCCTCGAAATACACATTCCTCTTATTACCTTCCAACTTTATGCGATCCCACATGCCTACACATATGTCATACCATTCCAGTTGCTCAAGCTTTTTAACCAATGTAGTGCTGTTGAAGTTGCGCAAATCATAATATTTGTTTTTAAATCCTTGAAGATGTGGTAACCGATTCAGTTCTTCACTCGGCAGCCCGCTCCCAGAATAGTCCAAATGGAGGCATCTAAGATTTCTTAGTTTGGCTATTACCCCTTTCGGAATCTTCAAGTATTTGCTTGTGCCCCTCATATATAGATATTGGAGACTCACTAAACATTCCATGTCTTGAGGCAATTCCCTAATTCCAAAACAACCTCTAATATTTAACACCCTCAATGCCTTCAGCTTCTCCATTTTTGGCAAACAACTAATCCTTTCACAACACTGAAGAAATAATCCACAAAGATTCTCCAAATTTGAGATAGAATTGGGAAGAAACTTAAGATTCGTATTTCCACTTAAATCAAGGACTCGAAGTTGTGTCATGTACAACAAGAAAGTTTCAGGTATTCTTTTAAGCCACCAATTTCTTACCAAAATCAAGGTTGAAAGATTTTGGCATCTGGGGGAAAAGTCATTTGGAATTTCTTTTATTGAAGTATCCAAAGAAACTTTCTCCAATTCAGGGATCCAAGGTTGCTGCTCTAGATTTTCAATGACCTCAGATTTAACCATGAACTTTGACATCTTTAAAGCCATGTCTCTCATCAAATCATGCATCTTAACATACCATTCTCCCTCTTCCAATAAGAAAACGTCTACTAGTTTATTCAATATGGAATGACCCTCGTCTCTATCTTCACATAACCCTTCTGCAATCAACTTCATTATTACTTCATCCTTGATAATCTCTTCATCTTCACTATACAAACAACAATAAAGGAAACACTTTTTCCACCTTTCATCATTCAATCTGTTGTAGCTAAATTTGAGTATTTCAAACACATTCTTTTCCAAGTCTTCCAATTGAGGAGAAGCATTTTGGAAATTCTTAATAGCATTCCTCCATGTGTGATCATCATTCACCCCTCGCATGCTTGCGGCTACAGTGTTGAGTGCCAATGGTAAGCCCCCACACTTTTTGGCCAGTTCTTTGGCATGTTTTTCAATATCATCAGTGAGCACAGTATGATCATTTTGTATTAAAATCTCTTTGAACAAATTCCAACCTTCCTCCTCATTAAGAACATTAACTTGGAAAAACTTTTGGCATCCAATCCTACGGCACACATCTCGCAATCGAGTAGTTAAAATGAGCTTGCAACCCTTGACCCTAAGGGGGACACCCAATTTCTCCAAAGGAATATTGTCCCACACATCATCCAATATGAGCACAACATTATTCGTCACTAAGTGTTGGTGTAAAATGGCAGGTCTCTGCTCTTCTATCTTGTCAAGAAATTCAAGCCGTGTAATTTTGGCAATTTCATCTTGCAATTTTTTGATGGTAAAATCTTGAGAAACTGTAACCCAGTAAACATTAACATGAGACATTTTTTGGAGGATTTGATCATGTATATGTTTCACCAATGTTGTCTTCCCAACACCTCCCATCCCATACACACCAATGCTCAAGACTTTATCATCCTCTAACCATCCATATAATTTCTCTAAATTATCATGAGATGACTTTCCAGATAACTGAGAGACATCTAGTGAAGGTATTGTGCTTTCATCCACATCCACTGTAAGTTCACTAAACTTTTTGCCATCATCTCTCAGTTCTTTAACTTCTTCTCTCATGGTTTGGACATCCTCTAAAGATGTTATACTTTCAATATTGAATGTTGCAAACTTGTTTTTCGTCTTTTCTACTTGTTCAAGCCAACCCTTGACTTCCAATTTCCTCTTCTTTTTCCCTCCTCGTTCTAAGTTCATCAACGTTGTTTCTATGTCTTTTGCTTGACTAGATAGTTGAGTAACCTGTCCTTTCAGAGCATTCATATTTTTATCAACTAGTGAAGGTATTGTGCTTCCTTCCACTACAAGTTCACCAATATTTCTGAGATCATTCTTAACATCTTCAACTGCTTCTCTCATCTTTTTGACACGATCTATACTTGAATACTTCTCCCACCATTGCCCCTGTATTGTCCTTTCTTTTAAAGTTGGAAAGTCCTCTGTCAGCTTTGTTGCTTTCTTAATCCAACTAACAACTTCTTGCTTCCTCCTTTTACTTCCTTGTTCCAAAATTGTCAACTTTGTTTGCAAATCGGACAACTGCTCTTCAAGTTGATTTACTTGTGTTTCAAGATCTTCCACACTTTCATTCAAACCCATACATTTCTTAATGTCTTCAATTATTATTGAAAGTGCCGGAATTGTCGATATTCCCGATATTGCTATAGATATTGCTTGCCCCATCCTGTCTTCCAAATATATACACAGTTTTGTAATGAGATACAAAATTGAATTAAAATCAGGAAAAATATACCAGTCATAATATAATAGGATAATATTTTTTAATAAAAGTGTAATACTTACAACTTTTTTTTTTTTTGAAATAAAAGAGCTAATTCACTGATCATTACAATAAGATCGATGGAATGATAAAACATTCTTACAATCAAACATTGAAACAAATTTTCAATGCTACACGAAACTTAAAAAGTAAAATTTTAGATAATACTATTAATAATTTTAAGTGAAAAAGGTAATACTTCTCAATAAATTACTAATACTTTTTCATGAAAAATATATTAATTTTTAAGAAAAAGTAATAATTTTTAGTAAAAATATATTATAATTGACAGAGAATGTAATGTTTGCTTATCCTACATATAATAATTTTAAATGCAGAAACAATACATATTAGTAAATATGTAATATGCTTAATTAAAAAAATGTTACAACCAATATGTAATCCTTTTATTCAAAGGCCAATATTTTAAACTGAAAATTAAATATAATATTTTTAATAAATAAAAAACTAATAATTTTCATGAAAAAAAAAAAAAACAATACATCTAAGTGAAAATAGATTACCCTTTAGTAAAAATGTAATAATTTTTAGCAAATGTGCATGTAATACCTTTCAAAGAAAAAACAATACTTTTAAAGAAAATGTCATAATTTCGATATTTAAAAAAACTCTAATACTTTTCAACAAAAAATGTAATACTTTTAAATGACAATGCAATACTTCAATAAAAAACACTACTACTATTATAGGATTTTATTACATCGATTTTTTTTCGTAATATACATCCGCTATTAAATTGAAGTGAACTGTACCAACGTATATTCCCTTTTAAAATAGTCTATTGACAAAAAATATTCAATACATTCAATACTATCAACAACAATCCATTCAAAATTAAAGTACCTAAAGAATTTATTCAACAATACTTTACGAGCAAAATAATACATTCAAAATACATCATACCAAGTATTTAACAAAACTAAATGTAACATTACAAGTACTAAATCATTATCATCATACTACATAATTATTGCAATTTTTTTTTAAAAAAAAAAAAAATTACATCAATAATTGTCATTATTAATTCTAATCTAATAAAATTTTAAAATAATACAACAATAATCACAACTAATTTAAACACAAATCACGATGTGGCTAATCAGTAGATGCATAATGAAAAAAGCCGAAAGCATGAAGAAATTGGGAAGAGATCTTACCTCACTAGAACTCGCCTTGCACCTGCTAGAGAAAATTGAAAAGTTGTCCACGTTGAGAAAAATAACCAGGAATGAAGCTAGAACTCAGTTACGTCCAACTCTTGTTCATAACCTATTTGTCAATATAATCAATTTAAAAAAAAAAAAACACAAATCTAACTAAATCAATATCACCAATATATTGAAAAATACATATAGTTTATTAACACTAATTCAACAAATCTATAAAATAATACACTTATAATCACAAATAATTTAAAATATATAGAAAAATAACACTAACCAAATTACACAATAATATAACTATAAATGGTAAATTGTTTGTCACAAAAGAGATAGAATAAAAGTCCAGAGGGGGTGGACGGACTTTTACAAACAATTCGGAATTTTGCAAGGCAATATTAAAAAACAAAACACTTAACATATTCTTAGTGTGTTGTGCATAATGGAATTTAAATTTAGTGTAGTGATTCTGTTATGTGTGTTTCATGTGTAGAACATGCATGCAAAAATAAATAAAGATAATAAAGAACACAAGAATTTATAGTGGTTCGGAGGTGTATGTATTCTTTCTACTCCACTCTACTCCTATCTCCAAGAAGAATTCACTATATCCACCACTTCGATCCATGGTTACAAGATACAATGAATTTTGCGATCTAGTTTTTTGATCAACAAGCCCACACTAATCACAGCCAAATCAGTGCCTCTAGCACTGCAACCAAGATTTTACAACTCCGTGTGACAATCCTCTATCTACAATCCAGTAGAAAAACCACTAGGATTTCACAACTTCGAGTGACAATCCTCTATCTACACTTCGGTAGAGAAACCACCAGGATTTCACAACTCCATGTGACAATCCTCTATCTACACTCCGGTAGAGAAACCATCAGGATTTTACAACTCCGTGTGACAATCCTCTATCTACACTCTGGTAAAGAAACCACTTGTTTGAAAAATAAGATTTTTCTTTGCTTCCAATTTACTTAAACATCTGGATAGATTCTTCAATCTATAGCAAAGTCTCTCTTTAGATGAAGATTTAATTTTCGCTAGAATATTTCTTTGTTCGCACACTTGATATTTCTCGTAAGGTCTCTACCACTGGAAAAATTTACTTGTAATTCTTTATTAAACTCATGCTTGACTTCTTTATATGTTCATCTTTATATAGATATTTGAGAATTTGTCCGTTGAAAAAAGACAATCTAAAATTTGAATTCTTTGTCAGCTAGTCTTGTAGTCTTTTCAGTATAAAATAACTAAACTCCATCTCACTTTTAATGTTGTGTAAGACATTAAAAAAATATTCCAGTAGTAATCTGAGTTCCAAGTCCAAGCAAATTGATCTTAAAAAATGATCTGATGAAGTTCATACCACCTTTGTGGTCAGAACTTGTTGGGTTACGTTGAAGGAACGAATTCGTGCCCGCCATCAACATTGCCGCTGTCGTCCGGTGAGGCGTCATCTATTGCTTAGGTGGTGGTTAATCCGGTGTATACCTTCTAGGTCCAACAAGATCAACAAGTTCTCTCCATGCTCATCTCATCCCTCTCGGAGGAAGTTATGCACTTGTCAATTAGACGACGAACTTCCATGGAGGTTTGGGTGGCCATTGAGAAGGCTCTTACTTCTTCCTCGCGTGCTTGAATGTTGAATCTGCTAGGTCAACTGCAGACGCTCCAGCAAGGTGACGCTTTGGTCACGGACTATCTGGCTACGGCGACGATGATCATTGAGCTAGGACTTGGTGGTCGCTGACCGGCCGGTGTCCGTCGAAGAGCAGAGTATGTTTGTGTTGCGTGGTCTTCGTATGAAATTAAAGTCTCTTACGGCCTCTCTGTCCACGCGTGCGTCGCCGCCGACACTTGAAGAACTGGCTGACTTCCTTGGTTCTCATGAGTTCTTAATGGCGGAGGATTTTCCAGCGGCAGCTTCTGGTGGCATTCTGGTTCCGGTTGTGAACATGGTGTGTCGCGGTGGTGGTCACGCTGGTGGTAGCTGGCGAGGTTCTGGCAATTGGCGTGGCGACAGTTAGCAGCGTGGAGGAGGTTCTTGTTCACAACGTGGAGGATCGCAATGTGGTAATAATAATTAGAGGGGATGTGGCTCTAATAATCAGCAGCGAAAGAATGGTCCTAAGTACCAAATTTGTGATTTATTAGGTCATACTAGCGTGACTTGTCATAGGCGATATTCGGATGGTGCCCAAGCTAATTTTGTTTATCACGATGATTCTGGTTTGGGAGCGGCTTTGACGTCCTAGAGTTGGTTCCCGGATACTGGTGCCCGGATCATGCCACACTAGATATTCATGCTCTTAGTGCGTCCGAGGGTTATGTGGGTACTGACACTCTACGTGTTGGTAATGGTAAGGCCTTGTCCATTTCAAGTGTTGGTCGTACTTCGTTTTCTACCCCCTCTAGGACATTTTCTATGTCTCGTGTTCTTCATGTTCCTCAGTTGTCTTCGTCATTGCTTTATGTTTTGAAATTTGCTACTAAGAATAATGTGTTTTTTGAATTTCACCCGTTGTTTTTTGTTGTGAAGGATTCAATAACCAAGGAGGTCCTTCTACGGGGTAGTAGTTTGAATGGTCTGTATTATCTTTCGTTGTCTTCTTCATTGCCGCCTGCAATCTTGTCTGCTCGTGCTTCTGTGTCTATCTAGCATGGGCGTTTAGGTCACCTTCATCAACGGGTTCAGGGTCAGATTTTAAAGTCTTGTTTGGTTAGTCTGTCTAGTCATTTATTTTCGTTGTGTACTGCGTGTCAAATGGAAAAATCTGCGCGTTTTCCCCTTTCCCGTGTTGAGTCTTCTAGTAGTCATGTTTTATACTTGGTGTACATAGATATTTGGGGCCCTACACCTATTTGTTAGTTAATGGATATCGTTATTTTGTCATTTTTGTTAATGATCATTCTCGCTATACCTGGTTTTATCCTATGCGCTTAAAGTATGATATTTATGCCATTTTTGATCGTTTCTGTGCTTTGGTTGAATGCTCATTTAATTATCGTATCAAGTCTATTCAGTCTGATCTTGGTGCTGAATACAAGAAATTGCACTCTCTGTTTCTTTATCTTGGCATTAATCACCGCCAGTCATGTGCTTATACTCACAAGTAGAATGGTCGTGTTGAGCGTAAGCACAGACACATTGTTAAAACTGGGCTCACTTTGATGGCTCATGCGTCTGTCCCATCACGTTTTTGGGATTTTGCGTTTAAGTCTACGGTTTACTTGATTAATAAAATGCCTACGTCAGTTTTGTTGAATTCTAGTCCGCACTTTGTATTCCATAAGTCGCCACCCTCTTATAATTTTCTGCGTGTGTTTGGGTGTCTGTGTTACCCTCATCTTCATCCCTACAATCGTCACAAGGTGAGGTTTCAGGTCTGTCTCGTGTGTCTTTCTTTGGTATCATGAGTCTTTTAGGGGGTATCATGGTATGGATCTTAACACTAACAAGTTCTTTATCTGCAAGCATGTTCATTTTGAAGAGAATGTGTTTCCTTTTCACTAAGCCTATTTTGCAGAAACCTGTTGGTGGATCGGTGTAGTCGTGGGATATGTCTCGTGTACGGGCTCCGGATGCTCCGTTGGTGGTGTCCTCTGTGTCTACTCAGCCTACTCCTCTTGTAATTCGCACT